ACTAGGTCGGCAACAGTAGCATATAAGTTACCAAGACGGGTCTATACTAGATTTACCGGAGCTATGACCGAGATCGGTGGAAAAGAGCTCCCAAAACTGAAACCGATAAAATTTGGTTCCACACATCTTTACGCAGGCACTATCTAGAAAATAAACTTGTTGGATGGTTAACATTCTGTAATAAAAATAATTATATAAATTTAAAAGTTCCTAGCTATTTTTGTTGAATAATAATGCTCAAAGAGTCAGAAGAAAAAAAAAACAACAAAAGCAAACCAACCACTATTTGATGTAATTTTAATACGTTTAACTGTTGGTTCTTCATCTTGTGTTTCTTGATCCATATTTTTTGTTTCGATTCTAATATTATCTTCTTTATTTTTTGATACAAGTGTTACTGTTCGTATAGATGAAAGATTTTTATTTGTATTTGATTCATCATTATCATATGAACGTCGACGATGATTAAGAGTTTTTGATGGACTTGGTGATTTTAATGTATAAACTTCTTTTGTTAATAATTTAACAAATTCATCACGTGAACGATTTGAATCATCTTCAATATCCATTGATGAATTTGAATTAATTATTTGTGTTAAATCTCCATTTATATCGATTCGATGATTATTATCAATATTATTATTTTCATTAGATGAAAATTCCATTTGTTCAGTATTTGATTTAAAAACAACATTATCAGTAGTAGTAATTGGTACAGATAACGGTAAATCTATTGGCATAGGTTGAACGAGTTCAATATTATTATTATTTAACTCATCAGATATTTTATTTGTTTCTATAGATAATGTTTGAGTCATAGGTAAAGATATAAGTAGTTGATTGTAGATTGGTTCATTGATAGGTAACGGTGGTGGTGGTGTTTGTGCTCGAAAACGTTCATCATAATCACCTAATCCTTGTGAAGATGGAGATTCAAGGTCCATATCAATGACAGTATTGATTGTTTGATCGTCTATGATGGTATCTTTAATAGAAAAGAAAACAATCAAATTATTTGAATATTGCATACATATGAATCTTTTAATTTTTCGACAGTATCAATTATGTATCAATATAGTTTTACTAAACATTTTCATATATATACGTCGAACAAAATATAAGATAAATACGAAATTAAATCTGTGATTAACAAATATGAAGGATTTTCCAGCTCTTTGAAAAGAAATTTTCAAATAATATCAAGATTTAAATAAGCAATACCCAACTGATATAGATGTCTGAGATGAAGCAAGATTTACTTAGTTTGACATGGATTAATACGCAGCACTTAGAGACAGGTCATGTAGGTAAACTGCATGTACCATATCCTTGACTGGACTGCCAGTTGCAATCGCTTACCACTAGTGTAGTGAAAGTTGACACTGAAAACATTACTTTGGATGTTGATGACGGCTAAAGGAAAAGTAGCGCTTTCTTCGACATTTATAGAACACAATATTGAATAAATGAATCTTTCATTTATCTCAACATCTGTGATATAATATCAAAAGATATCATTTAAGAAAAGTGTCAATCATAAAATCAATGAAATATAAAATCTTCATCTCTACATCTGCAAAACAAAAAGTTTATTCAAAGGAAACACACAGCTGCGGTTGAATTCAAATAAAATATTACGAATATGTTTTATTTTACATCATAGATGTAATTCATTGTAAAATGAACCATATTTTCGTATTTTGAAAAGTTATTTAAAAATGATGACAAATAAATTCTTTATATTTTATTATATGTTTATTTCCATTTCTAACGATTTTTTTTCTTCATATTCCTCACGGAGAAATATTAAGGAAAAGCATTGTTCCACATGGACAATGATAAATTCTATGGATTTCAAAGACTTTAATATTGCATATTTCATTTCGATTTTTATTTAATATATAAGACATACTGAACAGCACTAACAAAACTTGACAGTAATTGAAATGTCAATGTTTTGTAGAACATTGTTTAATGTCTCGTCTGATTTTCAAGTGAAAGAAAAGTTATCAGAAATGATTCAGGATAAATTTGTTTTTTTTTTTAATCCTACCTTCGATTATTTTATCTTGACTATTGTTTGATGTAGTTTGTTTATTTTCGAGACCATATTTATCAACAAAAACTCCAATAAGTTCAGCTAAAAGACGTTTTACATTCGAACGATTTTCATGTTGATATTCATGAGAAAAAAAATCTAATAATTCTAATGATATTTGTTGATTTGATGATGATGTTACTATTTGATGTTCTTTTAATACTTTTCGACCAATATTAGCATAAGTTTTTGAATTAGCTAATTGATTTCTTCTTTGTTGATTAAAATATTCTTGAATTTTTCTTTGTCGTTTTTCTCTTAAACGTAAACGTATTTCTTGAGAATTTAATTGTTTTTCATATTGAATTAATTGATTTGATATATTTATTTGTTCATATGCTAATTTATTATCATTTTCTTCTAAATCAATATATAATTTATTATTTGTTGTTTTTAAACCAAATTGGAAACAATCAATAACTGATACAAATAATGATGAATAATCTACATAAGATGATTGATTTGAGCTTTTATTATTAGTATTATTTATTTCATATTCATCTGATGTCATTGAACGTACAAGAAATGGTATAAGTGTATAGTTTGTTTTAGGTTTTGTATTAGTTTTAGAATTATAATAATAATTATTAAGACGTTTTTGTTGTTGTAATGCATGTTTAACACTTTTTAATTCAAGATAAAAAACATTTTGTTTTGATTTATATATTGGTAAACGTGGATCATTTAATTCAGTTGTTGAAATTAATGGAATATTAATTAAAGAATTTTTTTTTGTATTATTTATTAATTTTAATGATGATAATATATCAGATTGTGATCGTTCATTTATCGGATGTTGTGGTGATAATGGAATTATTTCAGATGAAATAACTGTTCGTATTAAACGAGGATCACGATAATTCGTTAATGGTTGTAAATTACTAAATGATGATAATGGTAACATAAGTTGACTAGGATATTTATTTGATATAGTTGGTGTTATTGGAGTATTTATTGTTTCTTGTGTAAGATCATCCCAAGTACCAGTATTTAATATTGAAATTGGTTTAGGTATAGGTTTTGTTGATGGTTTATTTTGACTTGAATTTTTTAATTTAATCGTTTTTTCATTATTCTGTTGAGATTCTTGAGATATTGATGTTAATTTAGTTGAGAATTTTTCTTTAAGATCATACCATAGGATTGCAAGAGGTAAGATTTGAGATGGACGAGAAATAGTTTGTAAATCTTCATGCTCATAACAAAATATCTTAAGAAGATAAATTAATATATAAATTACATAAAAAATATGTAACTATGATTATTTTAATTCGAATACTTACTAAACTATTTGCTAATAAATCGTCAATATGACGTTGTTCTTTATTTACCGGTTGAATTTTACAAAAATGATGATCATAATGTAATTGTGCAGATAATTGTTTATTATTTATTGAAGGTATAGTTGCATATCCTTTACCCAAAAGTATCTAAAACAAAAAAAAATACATATATATTTCTTCAATTAAAATCTTTTCATCTATTTCCTTACTTTACAGATTAATAATCCAAATTTATGAAGTCCCTGTGCGCCAGATGATGCTAAAAGAACATCTGGACGTCGTGATAGATGTATACCATCTTTAGGATTTCCTTTTTAAGATAAAGAAAAAAAAAAAAATTTAAATAGAAATATACATCATAAACATACCAAGATATTTATCAAGTGAAAAAGATAATTGTTGACATGTAAGACCATCAGTTGCAATATTTAATGCTATATCTCGAGATGTAATTAAATGAAAAGCAAAACGTTCTATTGGATCTTGATCTTTTTTCATTTGAGTTCTTTTTTCACTAAATTATTTATTAATATATTATTTCAATATATGTTCTTTTGTTTTTCATACTTATATAATTTTTGTAATTTTGGATTACGTATTGTTTCACATGATTTACATTCATTTTGTCGAAAATCAAAATGTGCTTCTAATGAACAAGATTTTATATCATCAAATAATTCAGTTACATTACGACTATCAGTTTTTTCTGATATTAATACATCTTTAAGAAATAATTATAAAGAAAAACAAAAAGAATATCTTTGATTTAATAAATTTATTTATACCTTTACTTGATGAATGAGTTTTTGGTATAATAAATGTTTTTTTACCATCTCGATCTTCCATTCTAAAACTGAAATTAAAAGAAAATAAAATTCTGGAAAAAAATTTGAAAATCGTTTTTTTTTTTTTATTGAAAGAATATTTATTATTTGAAAAATAAAATGAGAGCATACACATATTAGATTTTTTATTTAAAATAAACATATATGTACTATATAGATTTTCATTTATATGTTAAATGATAATAAACGGGTTTTTTTTCATGCTAAAATAGTGTTCATAGGTTGTGTCAAACTTCATTTTACTATATGAAAGATTGGTTTGATATGCATACAAATAACAAAAAAGCTAACATTGTATAATCAATAGTTGTACGATACATACTTCGTTGGGTATTTATATGAATTAGAACGATGCGTAGAAACAATGGTTGTGAATCATATATTTTATTGTTGATTCATTCATTCATTAAATTTTATTTGTTTTTGTGTGACAAATAAAATTATTACTTTACATAGCATATTGTTTAAATCATTGATCTTTTTTTTTATTTCTTAAACAAAGAAGTCAATCAGATGTTGAATTTAATTGCCATTAAGTACATATTGTATCGAAGTTATCTTATGAATTTATTTTTATGACTAATCATCGTTAATAATTAACCTAGATCAAATCAATAAGTAATCACATACAGAAACAAAAACTAAATACAACGGTTTATTATGAATCGAATGAACTACTATCTACTGTCAAGGCTTTTATTAGTGACAACTATCGCAAGAAATAAAGTGATTGGTTATAAAATATTCCAGGGATTCGTCGATTCGGTTTACACTTAGTTTTCTTTCTTGGTTATTAACTTTGATTGAGAAAGAATTATGTCTTGATAATTCCATTTCTTCTCGTACAGTTTTGTGCATATTAGTATTTTATTTCAAATGAATAACGTATGAAAATCATATATTGAAGATTATCTATAGTAGATTAATTTATTTTAGGGTTCTAATACAATGATTGTTCATGAACAATGGGTTCAATTAATTGAATATTGTTCATATAAATGTAATTATTCAGAAACTGTGACAAAAGGTATCGGCGTTGAAAAATTATGTCAAGCAACGGATGTTAATTTTGGTGAAAAAGATAAAATCAATAATGGATGGATTTTGTCAAATAATAATCGAGAAGAATATGTAATTGTTTCATTCCAAACACCAGTATTTATTAATGAAATACATGTTTACGAAAGTCTTAATCCCGGTAGTATTGTTAAATTAGAAGTGCTTGAATCTCAAAGAAGTAAGATCTCATATAGAATGGAAATCGAGAGTTAAGGTTATCCTCTTTTTTCGGAGTTTCTCAGGAACGACTCGACGAAAGATAAATGTCAATAAGTTGAGCAAAACTTTCAGATACTTCCTTCAGGGATATGTACGAGTTGCAAAAGTCGGAAACTTCCCAATATGAGCAAAAGGCAAAAGAAACTTTTCTGTATGCATCGAGTTTTTTTTTTTTTTTGTTCTAACTAAAGTGATTGAAAACTGGCGATGTTAAAGATCTATGACTCATGCTCTCAGCGCCTTTAAAAATTATCAATAGGAGAATTTTGCATACAAAGAATAATAGCAACGAAAGTTTTTCAATAGTTGAGTTTAATAAAAAATACTAACTAACAATGATGAATACATTTGACAGGGGATACTTCGAAGGTATATGTTAACGATGAAAAACTAAAAATTGAAAAAAAATTTCATTTTAATATTCGAAAAGCTAGGCGGATCTCCTTAAGTTTTCTTTTCAAACATGTCTTAAATGACTATTTCTATATGAGCAAGCAAGTTTAAGAAAATACAAAGTTTATTCATAGTAGTTTCTATTAAAATTTTGATGTTTTCTAAGATGAGAGAATTAACACTTAGAAAGCAGAATTTTGTCTTGGAATGAACAACATCACAAATAAAATTTCTTCAAAATTATCTGTCTTCATCTTCCTTAAGATATTGAATTAGAATAGTAAAATCGACTTTATAAGTAACAGTAACAAATCATTATTGTGTAAAATTTCATTACTTTAACTATCTTTGGATCAAATTCTGAAGCAAAAAAATCAATCGTAATTAATTACTCATTAGATTGAGATCTATGTTTATTGATAACATGAAAACTTTATTGTTGGATATATAATCTATGACTTATATTCTACTCTTTTTTATCTAACTAATTATTTTGAATAAAATTCGAGCACCAACGTCAATACTTGCAACAGAAAATTCGAAATTTCACCAGAAGACTAAACAAAAATAAACTAGATTAAACAATTCAAATATTTTGAGTACTGTATGATCTTTAAGATTGGTTAGAGTATAATGATCAATAAAAGATTTGCTATAGTAAATTTCATTTGAATAGTAGACACTTCATTCACGACATTAAGAAAAACTCTTCTTCAGTCTTATGTACTGTCATTGAATTTTAATTTTGATCACAATATATATAAATTTCCTTAACATTTCTATTGAATATCTTACATGTGCTTTTGCATTCGCCGGGTTCAACACTTTTTCATTGGGAACGATTCCTTTTCTAGTCATGGTAAAACCTACGTCAAATATCATATTAGCATAAGTCATGTGTTCTAAATAGATATGAGCAAGATGGTCCTGGGATCGAGACTAAAAAACGACTTGTTCTACTCATGTCTACATGGAAACATAGCTAGTTCTATCAAAGCTCATTGATTTGAATCGATCCATGATAAATCTCTAGTTTATAGTTTTTGATAAATATTGCATTATAAAGCATTTACGATTGATTTGAGTTTTTTCATTAATAAAATATTCTATGCAGATAAGTGGTGGATAATGTGGCAACAAAAATCTCATAGAGATAAGAAAATATTATGTCAAAATATATTCAAACCAATTTTACGACGTTATCGATTTCAATCAAATACTATACGTATTACTCTCGATCCAAGATATACTGATCAAATTGGTATTCAAGCTATTAGTAAAATTTGTTTGTTTGTATTTTATTTTTGTATATTATTATTTATTTAATAGAACTTATTGGTTCAAATATATTTGATATAAATTTACATCATATAACACTATCACAAGCAATGATGAATTTATATGAACAAACATTAAATAATACTCAACTTGATGTACAATTTATTATTGATAATAAAATATTAAATGCACATCGAAATATTTTATGTTGTCGTTGTTCATATTTTCATGCACTTTTACTTGATGATTTTAATGAAAAATCTCAAATAAAACCAATTGAATTAACTGATATTGATTATGAAACATTTATTGAATTATTATTTTTTATTTATAATGGTATATATCATAAAAATCTATCATATGATATAGCAATTAAATGTATGATTTATTCAAATAAAATAAATTTTTTAACAGGAAAAAATGCTGCATTAGAAAAAATTTGTTATTATTTATGTTTAAATCATAATTTAATTTTATCAATGTATTATTTCATTAAAAAATTGTCACCAACATTTGATTTATTATTAGATTATATTTATGAATTATGTTCACAAAATATGAATGAAATATGTAAACAAAAAGAATTTTCTGAACTTGATAAAGATTTATTGATTGAATTAATATGTCAATCAGCTCAACGACGTGAAATTCGTGAACAAGAAAAAAATAATCAAGCCACTCTATAATAAACAACCGATTTTTTTCTCGTTTTAATAATATTTTTAATAAAATAAATATATATATATTTTTTTTTTCTTTTTGTGTTTTTATATAACTTCTATGAAGCTTTTGCTTCTAGTATGACTACGAATATTTGCACAGTACCAGTTCGTGTTAGTAAAAATAATCGTGAAATTGATCCAACAGAAGATGAAAGACAAGGCATTGTACAAAATATAACCAAACAAGCATATTGGCATGTATCTTCATGCAAACCTGGTATGTACTTAAAAATAAAAAATGCTTATATTTCTTTTAGAATTTGAATAACAAAGGATCTTACTGGATTTAATGATCTGTCTTGAACTAGGATACCATGTATGTAGTTTTCTAGAGTTATTTGCACACCATCGAATAATGTATAAGAAATCAAACTTTTGATGTTCTCATAGTCCATTTGTTGGTTATAATTCTTGAGAAATACATATAGTTTCTAAGATAAAGTAAACTCAATAGAATTGCAGATACTCTTCGATTTACTGTAATCAATAGTTTTCATCACGGCTTTCTTCATACCTAAAAATGGTCCTTTTTCCTTAGATTTAGGTTATTTTTTGACTACCTGATATTCCAAAAGGTTCAACTCCACGCCACAGAATAAGTGAGTGTCAATATGAAACTTTCTTGAAAATTTCGCACTATTGAAGTCTACATGTTTTATACAGTACAGCAGGGATTCATCGTCAAGTTGCAAGATTGACTCCTAGAATAGTCTATCCTTTTATATGAAGAGGCTGGTATATTGACGATATTTTAACAATACTTAACGGTTCTATTAAAAGTTTTTATGTGTCGATAATCAACACAATATCTCTGATAAACCGATATAAATAACTCATTTATAATTGGAAAGAGTTTTTTTACTTCGAGACTCCCTTGGATGCGAGCACGGGTACAGGGTTACAGGAAGGAGGTCTGTTATTTTTATTCCGAATATGCAAGTAGGATTAATACATGAAACTCTACAAGAACCTATAAATATCTCATGCATATTTCGAAAATAAAATTTTCCATATCCTCATACTCTCGTCCAGATGTCGTCTCGAGGCCAAAAAAATTTTTACCATTTGTAATGGATTTATTTACATCAATTTATCAGGAATGCCATGCTGATTATTGATACATGAAAATTTTTAATAGAACTGTTGAATATTATTAAAATATCATTTATATACCGACCCCCTTATACAGTAAAATAGGTCACTCTATGAAACAATCTTGCAAGTTGACAATGAGATCGTGCTGTTCTGTGTAAAAATTTTTGAGATAGTTTTACTTTGGTACACACAGAATTGAACACAATGAAATATCATAGTCAAGAAATAGCTTAAACCTAAGACAAGAGACCATTGTTAGGTGTGGAGAAAGCAACGATGAAAACTATGGGTTATAGAAAATCGAATAAGCATCTGCAATTGTATCGAGTTGAGTTAAAAAACAAAGTATATCTTATAAGATCTTAGGCATCATATATATTTCTTAAGGATTGTAACCAGTATATGGATATTCAACATATCAAAAATTTGATTTCTTAAATACCATTCAATGTTACACATATTGCTCTATAAAACCACATAGTATGCTAGTTCAAGACAGGTCACTAAATTCGGCAATGTCTTCTAAATAATTTGACTCGAACTATTTGTGTATAAGTAAAATAACGGTTTGAAAGAATTTCTAGAAAATAAAATTCGATCTACTGTTCTAAATGAATTATGTACGGCTCGTTCGGCCAGAAAGATTACGCAAATGACAATTTTTCAGTCGGAAAATCACAGAACCCGACAATGAAATCATTGAATCGGAAAGATATGAAAGAGATATTTATGTAAGAAAATAGAGTCATCCATTCGGATATGTAAAAGATGAATCTTAAAGCACTTGACACATAACTGATTTTTTAGATAAATGATATTTTAATAATAATGTCTATTTCAGGATTTTGACAGATTCTTTTATTTAAGAAACAATTGTAAAATAATTTTAATGGTAAATTAACTCATTCAGAACTATCTTTGTGAATAGGTCATTGTAATTAATCAGTAAAAACAAAAGTAAGGATTGATTGAGTTTTCTTTCTTCGATCTACTATTGAACTAGCTCAATTGTTGAGAATAAGGATGTATAGTTCGCTAAAAGTTACTTTGATTCTTATTATTCATCAATTAGTTTCAAGAGTATTTCAATTTGATACTTAACTAAGTCTATTCAGATTGAAACTATTCGATATAAATTTTCTACACTTGAATAACTATTAAAATAACCTAAGTTTTTATAATGATATGAATAGAATAGAATAGAAATTTTGTTTTTTTAATTTCAGGTCATGGTGTAGATAAATTACTCGATGATAATCTTGAAACATATTGGCAATCAGATGGTCCACAACCACATTTAGTCAATATACAATTTAAACAAAAAACAAAAATAAAAGATCTATGTATTTTTTCTGATTTTAAAGTTGATGAAAGTTATACGCCTCAAAAGTATAATTATTTTCTTGTTAATATTTCTTAACTTAAAAAAAATCTTTTTTATTCTTTAACTCTTAGAATTTCAATTCGAACTGGTATTAATCATAATAATCTAGTTGAATTAAGATCTTTCGAAATTCATGAACCAGCTGGATGGGTTATTGTTCCAACACGTGATGCACGTGCAAATCCAATAAAAACATGGATGATTCAAATAGCAGTTTTATCAAATCATCAAAGTGGTCGTGATACACATATTCGTCAAATAGTCGTACATAGTCCAACAGAAACATCATCAATATTTATTGATCCAAAATTTTCAAGCATTGAATTAGCATCCCATAGTAGTTGCAGATAATTTTTCTTGTTGATTATTTGGTGAAATTTATTTTTTCTTGATGTTACGTCTATATATATATATAGTTTTTCTTTTGATAGTCCCTTAAAAATAAAAATTTATTTGCTCATTCTTTCATATATTAATTACTTATACATATTCGATGTCGTATAATTTTTTGCATGATAAGATTTTCAGATATCATATCTTTTCATATTGATATCTCTAAATTCATATTTTGTATTCATAGTCAAGAATGTTTTATTAATAAATTATCAAAGATTTTGATATTCTTCTATCGAAATTGAGTTTTTTCTTAAGAATTATAATGAGAAAGATGCTTACTGTAAAATTTTCTAAAAAAAATATTTTATCTGAAAAACTATATACCGTTTTCACCAAAACACAAAGAGGAAACATTTTTGAGAACTCTATCCGAGTTCAGGAATTTTTATGCTAACCATGGTAAAATTGGGTGAAGTTTTAATAAGTTTCAAATTAGGTTCAGAGGGGCGTGCTCAGTCTTATTCATATAGTTTTTGAAGAGTCAATGTGAAAAGAAGAAGCTTTTTTGTCTCTGAAACTATTCGTGGTAATTAAACACTTTTTTTTGTTGTTAATTCATAATGAACATCATGTATAGTTATAATATGCATTGGTTTCGATAGTTATTACATTCAGACTAGGCTCCAATTAGCTGATTATCTGCTGTATTGATATTTTGTAACAAAAATGTTGAGGTCATGAAAGAGTTCATGGTAAGAAATTCATATAGTACTCCAAAAGTACTTACATTAAATACAAAAGATTTTTTCTTAACCTTTTTTGATATTCGAACATCTTTTTAAGATCAATGAAATAATTATTTCTCAAACATTTCTAAATAGGATATTTCGTATGGAGAAAAGTACGAATTGATTAATCATATGTATGAAATATTGAAATTGATAAAAATACGTTCATGAAAACGATTGAGAAACGTTCGTATGTTGAAATAATTATCAAGATTTTTGTTGAGTTAAATTCTAATAAGATTTTTAATCAATTCTAAAGGTTATAACAAGTACTAAACAAAAACAATAGAAAATCAAAATCTATCTACTATTTTAAAGACATTGAAAGATGATAAAAACAACTCTATGAATTCTATTTCAACTAAAAACAACCTTTTCTTTTTTTTTTTGTCATCTTCATAGCTTTCAAATGTCTTGCCTTTTATTTCATAAAAGTTTAAAATAACAACGATGTGTCAAACTTATAATGTTATATTCTTATATTCTTCAAAAGCTTGTTTTAATCTTGCACATCCTTCTCGTAATTGTTCACAATCAACAATAGCAAAGCAAAGACGAAGACAATGTGCTAATTGGGCTTTAGCTTCTTCATCATGAGCAAATAATCGACCAGGTTTAAATGTAACACCATATTTACGAGCAATAATTAATAATTGATCACAATCAACAGTTGTATCATTAAATTTTACCCAAAGAAAATAACCACCTGATGGACGTCGACAGTTTATATATTTCTCTCCAAATGTTTTCATTAATTCATTATATAAAACTCTCATACGTTTTCCAAGTTCAACACATAATTTTTCATCAATAAATTGTTTTAATGAACCTCCAGCTAATATTCGATCAACAATACCTGATATAAAAGGATTTGCTCCACCACCACTATGTATTAAACCATAACGACTCATTGCAATAACATGTTCATGACTTGCACATGCAAAACCCAAACGTAAACCTGGTGTAAGAAGTTTTGAAAATGAATGAAGTGCTATAACTGTTCCAGCAGCATGATAAGCAGAAAATGATTTTGGATGATCAAGTAATTTTTCATGATTATGTCCATTAGCATTTTCATCTTTTTTTTCATAATCAAGAAAATGATAAACTTCATCAGCTACAATTAAAAAATGATATTTTAAACTTAATTGAACCAATTGTTCACGACGATGATGAGACATTGTAAAACCAGCCTAAAAAAATTTATTCATATTTATATGAAATTTTTTTTCTTACAATTGAATAATTATTCTATTTACAGGATTTTGGAATGTAGGTACGAGATAAATCATTTTAGGTTTAGCTCGTTCGAGTACATCATTTATAAATTTGGAATCAATTATCAGACCATCATCATCAACTGTATAAGAAATTATATGTAAATGATGATCACGAAAAATTTGTAAAGCATATAAATATGTTGGACATTCAACAAGTACAGTATCACCTGCACGAAAAAACATTGTACAAATCTGATCGAGCATGGCTGAAACACCATTTATAATGAATATGTTTTCATAGCTTAATGTTGAAATAGCAGATGTTTGACGAAGAAAATTAACAACATGATGACGTAATTCCATATTACCTTCATCTTCGCCATAAGCCCAATATGTTCGTTGATGTTTACCTTTTTCATCAGCCAAAATTTCTTTTGTTGCTTTGGAAATAAGATCAAATGGTATTATAGTTTCATCAGGTTCTCCTTTATGAAGTTTAATTGTAGTTGTATCAGATTGATTTTCATTTCTATCTTCCAAACCAATATCCATTGTTTTTTTTTTGTCTAAAGATGAATCGAATTGTAAAAAATACAACAACAACAACAACAACAAAAAGATAAATATTGATGTTTCCTATGTATGTTTTGTTTTTTATTTTATCATTTTGTAAAAAAAACAATAATCATAAACACGATGAAGATAAAAACAAAATAATAGAGCAAAAAAAACATTTGATGGAGTTTTCTTTTCTTCTTTCTTTTTTTTTTTTGTTCTGTCGTGTTCATGGGTGGTACTTAATCGAGTTTCTTAAAACCAATATCATTTGAATACTGGCGAAAACATTGACGACAAATCATTAAACCATACTAAATATAATAAGAATATCAATTTAGATCATATTTTCACAAAAAATAAAATTCATTTACCTTGCGAATGATTCCATGACCATTTGAACATACACGGCACATACGACTGCCGGGACCATATTTATGTGGATGTGAACGAAAAATTGATGAATGACCCATGTTATATGGATATTGATAAACTTATCGAGATGGATCTAAAAGAAATCGAACATGTATCGATGAACATCTAAGAAAATAATGTTTTTGTTGTTATTATTATCTAGGTTTTATCGATTTGTCCAGATTTTACTATTCCAAATCACCTCCTAATATAATAACATATTTTATCTAACGAAAGATGTCATTTATATCGTAAATTACGATTGGTTTAAATGTTCGATTTCGAAATAAAGAAGAAAATTTCTTTTGGTTTTTCTTAATTTTTTGATCGTAACAAGGAGTGATGAAAAAAAAACAGAGAACTCTTTTTTTTTCTCTGCTGATATTTAATGAAAGATAATGAAGCGATTCTGACTTTGTTATGATTGAATAGATATTTATTTTATTTTATTTCAGATATTTTTGTAATAACCAATTGTATTAATATCAAACGATTAAAAATGGTAAGAAAAATCTATTTAAAAAAAAAAAAGAAAGTTTTGTAATATATTATTTTCCTGTTTTCTTTTAGCCGACACAAGGAAAAAGCAGTAAAATGCTACAACATATTAATTATCGTATGGTCTTATTTGTTTTCATGTTATATTTTTAATGATTTACGTTTCTTTTTTTTTTGATAGGTATGCGATGTACTCTACAAGATGGACGTCAACTTGTTGGAACATTTAAAGCCTTTGATAAACATATGAATCTCATTTTAGCCGATTGTGAAGAATTTCGTAAAGTACGAAATAAAACTGATAAAGCTGAACGTGAAGAACAAAGACCATTAGGTTTAATTTTATTACGTGGTGAACATCTTGTTTCAATGACAGTTGAAGGACCACCACCAAAAGAGGTTTGTAATAATTATTTACTCTTTACAAAGTTAATTAAACATTAGCGTTTACGAGAATTTGCATTCATTTCAGTGAGAGTTATCAATTTAGTCATTGATGTATGCATTAACGATCTTTGTCGTATAGTGATGGGTTCTGAAGGAGGCTCATGAGGATTAAAAGCGATTAATCAGTTGGAGAACTTCTCTTGTTAGCTCCATCTAGAAATAAGACGATTCTATATTATAGGCGATGAAAATATCTACTTTCTAGATTCAAATGAAAGGTAAACCTTGTCGATAAGGTTTTTCTGTCTGCATGGAGATATGCATAGTCAAAAATTCAGATGAAATTGTATTTAGATTATAATTCTTGTTTTCGACTATATCTTTCAATCATATGTAGTACATGTCTAGTGTTTTTTCTTTAATAGGAAGTTGGTATTGCTCGTGTGCCAACAACTGCAGCTGCAGCAGCAGCAGCACAAGGTGCTGGTCGTGCAGCTGGACGTGGTATGTAATAATTTTCTTTTAACTAGAAATATAAATGACAAATTTTATTGTTTATAGGTTTTGTACCACCCATACCTGGTGCACCAAGCTTTGCAGCTCCTGGTCTTCAAGGGCCAGTACGTGGTATTGGTGGACCTGGTTTTAATCAAATGATGCCTCCTGGACATGGTATGCCACCTGGAATGAGAATGCCACCTATTCCAATACCACCGGGAACACGTAAATTCTTTTGAAATTATGTTTAGCTTGACTTTCTCTTTTATATTTAGGTCCGCCAGGCATGTAACTTCAAAAATTCTGGCTTGTTTTTTTTTATTATATTTTCTGTTGTTTTTCATTTGTTTTGTTCTATGATCATTCATTTTGTAACACACAATAAAAACATGAAACAAATCAATCACTATTCTATACTTCCATTGTACCAGAATAAACATGACTATATCTCATATAATTAACGCTCATTTTACGGATTTGTTAATCTTTCGCCGAAAAAGAGAAATAATGCTTTAAACATATCGTCATAATTATTCGATCGTTAATACTGTCAGTCATTGCACATGAAACCTTATATTTCCATAACATTTTTCTGCAAGATCTTCTCCAGTTCGAAGCTGCAGATTCAGATCCCAGTTCGTCTTCAGGACTAGTCTTAACTGATGGCTCTTTAGTTTTTATGTGTTTGTTTCTTATTAAAATTCACACTGGTGCTCTGTAAAAGATATCTCATAAAATTCAGATGAAAATATTCTTTTCAATTTGAATACATCTTGCGTATAAGAGAGTACAAAAGCTCATTCAAAATCTTGAGTTGAAACTAGTTGATATAGGCAAGGAAAATCAAACTGACTAAAGTAGTTTTTGATCAGTGTCACATGCAACTTAAGGAGACACAACAGATGCTGACTTTGCCTTCCAATACAATTTTTATGCTTTAACTTTTATTTGCTTCTCAAAGTGAATATATTATAAAATGCGTCAGGTTCCAGAGTTTCTCGCTAAATATAATTTGTTTAAAAATAAACCAATTATGGACATAAGAACAAAACGGAGGACATTTAATTGGTTCTTACTGTAAAATTCACCGAATTATGATTCTATTCAATAGAAAAAATGAAGTTCTTTCAGCATGTGTTCAACTTCAAATGTTATGTTTTTGAACGTACCACGACCTAATCAAAAATAACTGGAGATTATTTTTGTGATTTTATTTCTGTTGAAAAATATTCATCAGACGTGTGAGTGTGCATCTGCATGTGAGTAAAGATAATAACTAAGCCTCACCCACATCAAATTCTCAATATTTATATAAATCGGCATTTTTATCTTTCGAGACCTTATTCTTCGACCAAAGTAGACTTAAAAATGGATCGAAGATTCACTGAAACGGTTGTAACTTGGCTTTAGATATCCATGAGCACTAGAGCCCAGTGGTTTCAAAAAACATCCGGAATCAGAATTGCCAGTTCAATTCCGACTTCGGTTAGTAAAAATGAAAAACAAATGGTTCCAATTTCGGTTCGTAAAAGTATTTTTGAAAACGGTGGTCTAATAATAGTATACCATAGGACTGAGACAATAATTTTTTCTAGAAATTCGTAAATTATATTTCGTTTTCTTTTTCGAGCTTGTTAATGTATGTTATTTTTCAAAAGTAATGTCGAAAGGTAAAACAACAAAGAGAAAACATGCGAAAATCATGACTACTTTTCATGAGCATAATCTTTTCGTTAATAAAGCATTATAGTGAGATGAAACTTTTTGTAGTAATTTTAGATGCATAGTTACACAAGAAGAGAAATTTTAACTCCAAAGTCTCGTGCTTATTAGTTAGAGCTAGAGCAATTTTACTATATTTGGTGTGGGTGTGCATATGTGTGTAGTTAAGAAAACCAACACCCACACCCACACCCAACATGAGGGTGTGGGTGTTCTATGTATCTTCTCCTCATCCATCCATACTCATGCCCATATCCACATCCGCATAAACACCCACACCCACACCCTTCTTGTGTTAGATGATGGAGGTTGTTTTTCTGAAGCATTAACAATTTTATTTGCTATTAATGATGATTTAATCGAAGCAAATGAATTATTTGGTACTCTTCGATTATCATTAAAAATTTGCAAATTTGATATAAAATTAATTTTATCATATTTAGATGCAATTGAAATTCGTCTTGTTGAACAAACATCACGTGGTTTATTTAAATATATTGATCAACCAAAAATCTCCATTGCATTAAAAAAAACTTGGAATATCAATGATTGATGTTGCTTCTAGTCAACCAAAAAAACATTTCGAAGCTTCAATTATTGCTGAAGCATGTCTTAATATGTTATCTTATTTATTTTATGATGCAAAATCTCATTTAACAATTCGTAAACCATCGAAATTTGATAAATGTTTATTACTTGGATATGGAGCTATTGGACAAGCTGTTGCTTATGCATTAATACATAAGAAAGATTTAGGATTATTTTTAAAAGATTCTGTTTATATATGGGATACAGATTTGATTAAAAGAAAATTAGCTGAGAAAGATGGATTTCAAATATTTAATCAATTGAATAATAAAGATGAATTTAATTATATAATTGGTTGTGCTGGTCGTTGTTCATTACCAATATCATCTTTATATTTATTATGTAATAATTTTTATTTAATTAGTGTTTCATCTGCAGCTATTGAATTTCCATTTCATGATATGATTCAATATGCTTTATCTAAGACTTCAAATAAAAATTTAGAAATTTGTTTACCGAATGATGAATTAAATCATTTAGATGATGAAAATATTCATCGAAATATTTGCTAAAATAAAAAAACCTTGTTATTTTATTTGGAAAGAAAATTTTAGGTTCCAAGTGCATTTGTTTTGAATTAATGAAAATAAATTTTCTTTCTATATTAAGTGAAAAGGTTTCTAATTCTCCAAAACCTAATTCTTTATTTTCTGCCAAATGAACAAATCGAAAAATCCGATGAAATTCTCCATGAAAAATGACATTGATGTTTTTTCTAACAATTTCAAAAAAATCATTTAAATGAAGAAGAATATTTTCTCAAGTATTTTATTTAGATTTTCCATGAAAGATACATGATTTTCTACATAGATTATAATGATAAAATAAAGATTATTTCGTCACATTTGTGACGAATACTATGATGTGCTCAAGTATTTTTAGAAAACATCATATTACAAAGAATTTTTGACAAAAAGAAACCATTAAAGCCAAATATTTAGTTGATTATATCTAGGAAATATAATTTGAATATTGTTACAATCAAATACTTGACCATGACCAGCTGCGATCAGTTTGTCATTAAATATGGTTTTTATTTGATGTTTAATTGGATAAATACCATCTTTATTTATTACTAAATGTATCAATTGATCAAATCGACGAATAATATTCAAAGTAAATTCAATGAGATAATCATCAAACATGATAATTGCTCGACTTGTCTCGAGTACACATAGTTGAGGTGCTAATTGAGTTAATCGATCAATATGAAAATGTTGTTTAGGTTGAGGATATAATCGAGCTAATACAAGATGAACATGTCTTAGATTTGAATAGCTTCGTGAACAATGACGAAAATCGTTCCATTCCACTACAAGATGAGAAAGATTCATTGATACATCTAGGACTTGTTTGACTATGGCGACACGTTGAAATTTTTCAATTGATTCGGATTTTATATCAAATTTTATCGATCGTAGATGATCAAGCCAAAACTTGCAGTCGGAATGGAAAGTTGATTTTATTGTCGATATATATGGCTAGAAAGTGTACATTTTAATTTATTATAAAATCAAATTTTTAGCAAAGTATACAGTGTGTTCTAAAAGTCCCTTCCCAACAGTTTTCTCGAATATCTTTCCTATTTTATTTAACTTTATAATTTGTAAAAGTATCACTTTTGACCGAAATACAAAAATTTTCATTACTTTGGGTTTCCAGAAAAACATTATGGATCGATTTTTTTCTTCAGTTATTTTGACGTTTCTCAAGTATTTTTCTGTAAATTTCGCATCAAAGAAAAGTTTGTAGAACTCGACATGCTCTATCCGCCCATATGAAAATATCAAAGAAAAAAACTTAGTTGATTTTTCCAATTCCTAATATTCCACAACGGAAGCCAAATTTTTGTATTTCAATCAAAAGTGATACTACTACAAATTAGTATGAAAGGTGACTCTGATAAAACCAAACTTCATATCTTCACCTTTAATTTAACAAAAAAATTTGTCGATAAAGTTAAATGAAATAGCAAAGATATACGAGAAAACGTTTGAGATATACTGTAGTACAGATGGAGTATCGTGTGGAATTAATTCTATTATATACTAAAAATGAATCTGTAGCTTTAGAATTCTATTTTCTTCCTTCCTATTTATTGTCTATACATTCTAATGATGTTCTACAAAGATCTTCGATTATAAAACAAAATCGAAATTAAACATAGCTCTTCAATCTTATGTGATGATCGTATACTTTTGTAAATCATCGTCCCAATCAAGACATTCGATATCTTAAAACAGAACAGAATACATTTTGAATTCTATTCTCAATGATATTTTAATTAAACATTCTGTGTAAGTAAACATTTGATATCCACTCAAACTTTGTTGACATTTGAATACAAAGAATTATTAATTGATTTCTTTCGAATGACTTACTTGTTCATCGAAATAGATTAAATGAAGTTCATTGACACGACCACTTGCAAGTACTCGTAGAATTTCACTTATTTGATTAGATTCATATTTTTGATCGGTGGACCATTGGGTCAATCGTCTTCGAGTTGTAAAGATAGGTTTAGATACATGTGTCACTAAATGATGATTGTGGAAAGTTCGTCTGTGACGAATGAGAAAGTCTATTGGATGATTGTAAATAATAAAAATGTTCTGTGGAATACAAGTGTATTTAGCTTTGACATAATTATAACTCTCATCGATATAACTATCCACACTGTCAAAAGGCCATTTATCCTTCCAATTGAATGAACTCATTTGCCATGCAACTTCGATTTGTTGAGGAAAGCAAAATGAAAAGTGAAGATTTTTCAGAGCAGGTAAACGTTTAGAACTACAAAGTTCTTGAAATTTCCCAAGATGATCTAATGCTACAAGAAAGAATAACAGATTGTATTATATATTCAACTTCGTTCGCATTAATGAACAAAGAATACTAACAATATTGAAAACTATTTGCGGAGAAGAAGCAATCCTTTCAAAGAAGTCTACTCTCATTATCTCGTCATAGAAAAACATTTCGACATTTAAGTATGTTCTCTCTCTCGTTAACCAATGATATCAAACGAAACTGAATGATTGATGAAATAATTACTTACTATGATCATACATATCAACAAGTATCAAAGTTTCAAGCACAGGCATCGATAACGAATCAATTGATGTAATAATATCAGTAAGATTTATATAACGTAAGAGTAAATATCTCAGACGAATACCATCAATTCGTTCACGTCGTAGATGCACATCATTTGATTCAATATTTAGTATTGATTTCTCATTACTTGTTGGTAAAACAATATGCAAATCTTCATTAGTAACTTCCAGATGTTCAATTGAAGGCAAACTATTATGTTGCAACAAAAGTTCAAGTTCCCTTGCATGTTGAATACTTAACGTTAATTTAACTGTATTTGCCCAACAAAGTGGTTGCATATTGTGTAGACCCTTTATAAAATCGTTTAGATTATATTTATGACCTATCAATAAAAAACAATGATCATACTAACAAAACAGTCACACTAATAACTTTAATTTAACTATATGCTAGATTATATGATATTGACTGTATCTTACATGATCACAATATAAAAATAAAAAAGATAATCAAAATGGTTCTATTATAGTTTATTAAGAACAAAATTATTGAATCAATAGAATTTGTTAAAATCTATATCACTAATATTTTTCATTACAGAGATTACGACGATTCCGTCGTCACTTAGTAAAGTCATTCAGTGATAAGATTGAACAGAGCCAATAAATATTTCACTGATCCTAAACATCCAAGTAACTCATCTGACGAGATGAGATAAAAACTTTTTTTATAATGAACATCTTTAAAATGTCCTATAAGAGCTGTCCACCTTAGAGAAGTTTTACTGTATACGATTGTAGATAGTTGTAAATTCAGTTGTCTCGTAACACATTATATCCTGTTTCATAACTACTAATAAATTAACATAGAAGAGATTGTGTGATCACTCATAAAGATCTCTAGATGTTTTCTCTATGATTATCTTTTCTTTTTCTTAGGGTGAAAACACAATAGTGCCTTCGCATTTCTCGCCGAGTGAACCTAGCAGATATTTCATTCTGACTATGATTTCTCGCATTAAATTGACAAAACAAATACTAATATGTTCAAAAATAAGTAAGAATAATTTCAACTGTCATCTAACTCCCTAATTCACTACAAATGAGACACATACTACTTTAGTTTCTTATCTATCTTTAGAAATATCGTTGGAAATAATCCTATTCATAACAATGCCATAGTCTCATGTATGCTTAAGTATCTTAACTCTAATATTGTTACTAATCAGGTTCTTCTGTTTCAGACTATGTTGAATAACATACCCTTTTCAACTTCTAATATCATTGTATTCACTGAAATCCGATGATGAACAAGCTTAGAGAGTATTGATGAATATGAATTCGTAGGCTGTTCAAAGACAAGATGTAAATATTGTAATGTGTTATGAGCAAAAACTAAAGGTATCAAAACTGGTTGGACTAAACCATATTCATAATATTCGGTATTTAAAATAAAAAGTCGTTTTATTGATGGTAAGAACATATTGATTTGTTGAGTATCATGGAAAGTTTCACTCCAGTGATTAAATAACATTCGACAAGCACATGAATTACGAAGTACGATAGTATCTATCAAAGCAGTAAAACAATGCATAAAATCATTGTTATTGCTAAGAAGAAATCGACGCAATTGATTATAATGCATTAAACTAACGTCGAAAGAGTGACTAATAGAAGTAAGAAGACGTTGAATACGAACATTTTTTAAGTCAAGAAAGGCTTGACAAAGATCAAATGATGATAAATAAGAAAATATCTTGAGTAATAATTCATTGGGTAATGATTCTAGTGTACTTTTCTTCATCATCGTCTATTGAATATGGTTTATACACTTGTGTGTTTTTCTATGAATATATATATGACCCCTATCATGTGTGACCAATGATTGTATACGTCTGCGTTCGATATGTCATCGAATTATTCTACGAATAGAACAGTGTTCAAAAAAATTGGAAT